GCTGGTGCTACCCCGGTGGAGCGTTTCAGCCTGTCTGGAGGGCGCGTCGCAGGGCTGAAGGCACTGCATGAATAACCCTGGCTCGTGTGTGTTTCCCAGGTGCTGTCTTTTCGGAGTGCCCGTTCAAGGAAGGCTACGATCTCTCCATTGGGACTTCGGAGCGGGGCAGCTCCGTGGACCAGACCACTCTGCCCTCCTTCAGGTTCGTGTCCTCAGCCGAGCGTTTCAGCCTGTCTGGAGGGCGCGTCGCAGGGCTGAAGGCACTGCATGAATAACCCTGGCTCGTGTGTGTTTCCCAGGTGCTGTCTTTTCGGAGTGCCCGTTCAAGGAAGGCTACGATCTCTCCATTGGGACTTCGGAGCGGGGCAGCTCCGTGGACCAGACCACTCTGCCCTCCTTCAGGTTCGTGTCCTCAGCCCCGCTCAGAGCCCCCAGGGAGGGCTGGTGCAGGCCGCAGAGCTGCGCTGTGGCCTCGGTGTCCCAGGCAGACACGCTCCTTGGTACAAGGGCAAGACTTGCCTGCGGGCTCCCTTCTGTGCTCTGCTGCTCCTTTTTGCACCATCCCTCTGCATGGGAAGTACCGCAGGACAAGGCCAAATCCTTTCCTGAGTGTCTGGAGCTGGTAGCAGGGACTGTTGCATCGGCCAGGTGCTGTGGGGCTCGGTTAGGGCGGCAGCTGCGCTGGGCACTGTCAGCGAGGGCCACAGCTCCCCGCTTCGGTGTGGAGGAGCTTGACCGCAGACCCAGATGTCTGAATAACAGAAATGAGCGTGCTTCTTGAAGAGAGCTGTTCATGGGAAGGCAGTTCTTCATCCCCTGGAAGGCTCAAGGCTCATGAGCAGCTCTCCCACGGACAGCATCGGTGCCAGGGTAAGAGCCAGCCTCCCCTCTCACCCTGTCCCCCTGCTCTCCCCTAGGCATGCCCTTGTCGTGTTTGGAGGTCTTGAGGGCTTGGAAGCTGGAGTTGACGTGGACCCAAACCTGGAGGTCACCGACCCAAGCGTCTTGTTTGACTTCTACCTGAACACTTGTCCCTGCCAAGGCAGCAGAACCATCCGGACCGAGGTAGGGGGCTAATGGTGTGGTGGGGAGCGATGCCCGCATACGGAGCGGTGCCGCGCATCCGCCTCAGGCAGGGACACAGGCGGCCCGCGAGTC